GCGATGGCACAGTCGGCTTTGCTCAGCCCCTTAACCATTGCCTGAAGATATTTCTGATTGAAGTTGAGTTTATTACCGACGGCGCGGACATAACCGGCCGCAGTTGGGAAGTGTCGGCCCGCGTATTGGCCGACTTCGCACACGGCTCTCGACTGACAGGCGTCTCCCTTCACGTTCAACATCTCAAACGACTTCTCCGGTAGGGATCGTATGGATCGCGAGACCATCTCGTAGTTCAAGTTCTTCAGATCGCCAACACTTTCGCTGACCGACCGGACCAGGAATGGCGCCGACACTCCCAGACCGGCCAACACTGCGGGGAATATACTCGCCAACAGTACGAGTCCTGAGATCAACACAAAGCCCAGTTTGATGGCACCGAAGACCGTGAGTTCGGCCAGAGCTCCGACCGGATCGGGAATGACGGACAGCGCGCGGCCCCGGAATTCGTTGAATTGTGAGATCATTTCCATCATTTGCATGGCTTGACTCAATGGATTGCCCACACGAAGACCGTGAGTTCGGCCAGAGCTCCGACCGGATCGGGAATGACGGACAGCGCGCGGCCCCGGAATTCGTTGAATTGTGAGATCATTTCCATCATTTGCATGGCTTGACTCAATGGATTGCCCACCTCTTTCATCTGGTCGTCCGATTGATCATCGAAATGGTTGTCCACTGAATTACAAGACGACAATGTGATGGCAATTGTGGCCAAAACACCGAAAAACAATGTGATATTTCTGTTCATTTTTTTGCACAAAATATTTTAAAACAAAACTTTTTGTTTTGACAAAAGACTTGGAGAGCGACTGAATGGCTCGGAACCAGTGGTCACTTATATATATTTGGAGAACAATAAGCAAAAGTTAATAACATTTTGAACAAAACTAAACTTTATGTTTAAATAGTGTGTAATTATGGATACGAAGCACCTGTTGATTGGTCGAGAGGTTTGGACAGTAAAAAGGGTGGACTGGGAAGAGACTGAGGGCACAAAAAATCTGTGCTAACATTAACACTACTAACAGTACTGACCACTCGCTAATTATACCTGCGTTTGTGTACCTGTATTTCACCGGCTCCTATCACTTATGCCATGTATAGCTCCGGGCGCTTGTAAACAGTACTGTACACTGTATTTATTGTGCTATCCTTTTGACTTCAAGGGCTTAAAAAAATTAGTAAATATACCTTTTGGTGGTCTTAAACAGTGATATTTGTAATGTTTGGGTCAACCACTTCCTGGTCAAGGACTTGCCGTTTAGCTCAAGAATTTCCTTCAATAATAAGGATATTGTATAGGATTTTGCAAAAAATAGTGAACGATTGATAAAATTTAAATATTTTACAAATATTTTTATCCAAAACATAGTTTTCCATAAATCTTAAAAGGATATGAAAAGTAGTTTACAACATATTTTCATTAATGTTTTTAGTTTTAACGTATACTTCAAATAGTTTAATATGAATTATATTTAAATTTCTTTAAAAACATATTTTTAAATATTTATAAAAGGATTTTCATTAATAAAGTTAATGTGTTTCTCAACAAAACAAAAACACTATTATATAAATATTTATTTAAATATAATAGCAATTAATATGAAATTAGAAGTCATTTATTTTATTTTTCAACAATAAAAGTAGATTTATTTGATAAAGAAATTAATATTTATGGCCATTGACTAGAAGTAGAGAATAATTAAATAAACATTATATCAAATCAATAAAATAGTCACACAATAAAAGTCATAAAATAAAAACATTTTGCGCTGAAAATGTCATTTGACTGGAGTTTTCAAAATACTTTATCCATAATTATAATTAAATTTTCAAATACATTATATATAATGTATTATTTAATCGGAAAATAAATAAAACTCATCATATGTTACGATATGTCGAGCAATAAATTGCAAAACTTAATCACAAGAGTATTCAATATATGGATTCTCATTCATTCCTATATATAGACGCCTTAAATAATGTATAATATATTCAGAAGATCTGATTTAGCGATAGTTTTTCACTCAAAGAGTGCATAAATATTCATTTCATCCATATTTTCATTCACTAGTTATTAAGTTTCAGCAAAATAGGAGAAAATCATACATTAATTGAGTTATTACTAGAAGATTGAGATTTATAACAAGAGAGTACAGAATATAACGATATATAAAATATATCCAAAGCCAACACATTTTGGTATCAAATGCTAAATTTGCGACACTTTTTGCTGATTTATAACATTAGTTAGTTTTCTAAGCTTTTGGTCGACATCGAGTCGCACCGATTTGAGCTTTTTAATGGCCGTCTCGTCATTATCGGGATCTGCTCTTTGGTCGGCAAAGCTTATGGTGGGCTCAAAGTCGGTGATGAATCTATAATTACCCAGACTTTCCAACTCAATCGCCTCATCCCTCAGCTTTTTAGTCGTCTTTTTAATTAAGTTGAGTAACGACGAGGAAGAGGTGCGGATGTGGTTTAGATGATGCTGTTGTTGGAGCTTTGGGTCCCACCGGTGTTGAGCCGCTTGTTGTGGTTGGTTGTGGTGGTGGGGCTGTTGCTGCTGCTGATGGCGGTGGTGTTGATGTCGGCCTACCATTTGCGGCACATTTATTGTCGAGTAATTCATTTCTGGTAAATAATACTCGTCGTCATTATGTAGGCAACACTTATGGCTCCCATTATTCAAATAAATATCTCTTTGATTATTATGTTTATAATTACTGCTAATATTATGTATAGACTTGTTATGGGGCGCCGCGTAATGCACTTCTCCTCTCCTATGCATCTGTCGGCGAGTAGTGTTTCCGCCACTCATTTCGGGTCTAATACTAACTCCTATGCCATCGCTTATGGATGACGAAGACTCAAGAGATGATGAACTGGCTCTGGATGTGTAGCCGTCTTCGCCATCATCTGAATACTGATGCCGTCTATCTCTAAATCTACCCTTTTTTGATGTGTTTGTCATTTGTTTCCCACTCTTCACGTGTGAAGGGTTTCTATTTTGAGACACATTTCTATTGAGGCGTTGAAATGAATCGCAAATTTTCTTAATATTTGTCTCCATTAAAGACATTCTCTGCGATATATCCACGGGTTGTAACTCGTCGTCGATAATAGCATTACTATTGAGGATCTGTTGCTGTGTTTGCTGTTGTGGTTTGTCTGACGGCTGAAGGCTTTGTACAGATTGTGTTGATTCCGGGCCGACATCTCTGTTCAATACACGCTTTGGTTCGTTAACTACACTATTCTTTGGAGGATTCACTTTAGAAATGGTTTTGTTGTTTTGATGAACACTGCCCTCAAAGGCCTGCAATACTTGTTGAGCCAACTCTTTGACCTGACCATCGATCGACTCTATTCTGGCCATACATTCACTACTCCTGAGCTCATTATCATCTAAACGAGTCGAGAGGCGAATCTCTATCCTCTCGGCGTCTAATTCCTGAATCCTATTCTCGATTCTCTTCATTATAGTCTCCAGTCGTTGCACTTCAGACTGAAATCGTTGAGTTTCTTGAGTCAAACTGCTATCCATTCGTTGCAATTGTTGGTTGTGTTCCTTACGGTGTCTCTCAATATCAGCCAAAGTCTGTCGCAAATCATCCTTCAGATCATTGGACTGTTGGCCAAAGTTTTTGCTATTATTCGACACATTAGACAATTCCTGGCGAACGGCTCTCATCTCGCGATTGCTCTCGTCTTTAAAGTCCATAAATTTTATCTCCAAATCTTCGGACACAGAACTAACTTTGGTTTTGATGTCACGATTCACTTCATTCCGTAATTCCCTCAATGAGTCCATCGTTTCGCTCCGCACATCACTCCTTAATAATTGCATTTCTTTTTCATATTTATTGATATCAATGAACTTTTCAGCGGATCCCTGAGTGATGGCGAGTGGACTCGTATGCAATTGTGTCACGTTTTTATTAGCTATCATTTGCCTTAAATCACTTATTTCCGACTTTGTATCCCTCAATGCGCTACTATTGTGGCCGACTCTGTCCTCCATTGTGTTCATCTTCGACGACATCTCGTCTTTGATTGTATTTCTCTGTTTTCTTATCTCTTCGCGTAATTCGTTGCGAAGTGTCGTTATTTTCTCCGTCAATGAAGACGTGATTTCTTCAAATCTGTATTCAATTTGCTGTCCATTCACCTCATTGTCAGTATTATTCTCGTTGTCGTTGTCTTCTTCCTCCTCCACCTCCTCCTCCTCTTCCTGTTCGGCCTCTTCTTCATCGTCTCCTTCATCCTCTTCCGCGTCGTCTCCTGTGTTAAGACTACTCTCTAATCCGTTTTCATCCCTTTCGGAGGTCTCGACCAGTGTTTCCAATGGTTTGTGTGGTTTGTGTTGCGATGAGTGAACTGCGATCTGATTATTATTACGATTATTAGTATTACTCTTATATAGACATATAAAATAAGACAATAGGTTTAGACATCACTACAACCACTACTACTACTAACCGACGACTGCTGCTCGTAATTACCAGAATTATCATATTTGGCTGACACACCAGTGCCCACACCAGAGCCACCACCAGAGCCAACACCAGAGCCCAAACTGCCAAACAAGTCATTGTAATTCTGATCGTATCCGTCAAACTCGGCGAATGGGTCTTCAGAAACATCTAATAAAAAGTCATTTATCGAAACTTCATTATGTCTTTGACTGCCAGTACTGGCACTTTGTTTAGTATTCTTCTGGTGTATGGCTTTGGCATCAATTGATGGCGAGTCTGTAGGAGAGGATACGTTACTATGGTTTCGGTCTCTCAACACATCAATGATTTTATTTGATTCGCTGGCGAACACGTCCTCACCCTTTGGCTTATGATTATCGCTATTAATGTCATCTTTTCTGTATTTGTATTCATTAGTGTTTCGGTCACCCGATTGTAGGGCTGCTCTCAAATCGATTGTATGCTCTTCTTTGAACTGTTTGGTCGTGTCATGTATTCCTCCGTCGGTCACATCCAACGTCACCAGATCTCCGTCGATGAGCGCACCGTCGCTGCCCTCCTCTTCCAACAGTTCCTCCACTTCTAACTCAAAGTCCACGGACTCGACCTCTTCGTCGCTGTTGTTATTGCTATCCTTTGGCTGTTTTGAAAACTCAGGTTTCTTCTGATTGTTGGCTTTGGCATCGATTTGCAAACTCTTGTTTCTATTTGATTGGTTAGCGTTGCCATCGTTTCTGAAGCCGATGTCTTCGTCGACGAAATGCAAATTCGCGATTGAAGTCAATCCACTCATACTTAGGGTCGTCGACGAGCCCTTAAGCCGCTGTTGCTCTGCCAGCGATCGATAGTAGGGATCGCACGGATGCTCCCAACTTGACTGCTCTCTCTCGCAGTTAAAGTAATATAGTCTTCCGATTTGGTCTTCACTTTGTTTTCGTGGCATTGAATGGCATTGAAAACACATTTCAAGTCAGAATATAGCGACAGAAGTGGAGGAATGAGAGGGAAGTAAAGCATAGAATTAAACGATTGAATACTTCTTCCCATTGATAAACAGCAATTCAATAAAATACAACTCTCTCTCTCTCTCTCTCTCTCTCTCTCTTTGATATAATATAAACACTACTGGTATTCCGATTGTGCCAAATGGATGGGTAGGTTTTGGTTGGTTTTGCATCAAATGCTAAAGCAATCGGTGGTGTGATTCATGAGATAAGAGAAATTTTTTGTCGACTCAAATATTTTTTAGCCTCACTTTCTCTCTATTCCCATATATTGTATGTCGGAAATCGAGTCAAACATATTTTACTGCTTTCTCTTTAGGTTTTTTTACTTCCACTTTCTCTCTCTCCCTCATCCCTAGTCCTCCTCATCACAACTGCTATACAACTATAACATGACTTACACTGCAATCCATGGAAATGGGAGTTTAGAGACGAGACCTTTTCGGGCGATCCATAATAGATGTGATTCCGATTGCGGATCGATTCCAATCTGTTTGGCGTATAGTATTATATCTGCGATAATAATACAAATCAATGCAAATATTAAGTCTCAGAGTATTATTGAGAACACAAACTGATTAAAGAGAGGTTTCGTTACGTTTCTGGTTCTCCTCTTTTTCTATTTGAGTTAATGTTTTATTTTATTTTCTTATTTGGGAAATGAATTCACAAAATAGTTTCATTGAATTAATACATTTTCGATCAATAGTATAATGAGATGCAAATTATATTTACTTTTTTGGCCAAAAATAATTTGTACTTTTTATAGGAAATATAATTATGGATTACTATTAATAGCAGAAAAATCTTTAAACTCTCGCAACACTACTTATTAAGTAGTTTAGGAATATCTACACCAAAAATAAGGCAACATTTTGTGTTTCGCATGAAAACTAAAATACGAAATAAATTTCAATTGAATACAACATTACATTCAATGAAACAAATAAATCTCAATTGGAGTCCAATATTTGTTTTATTTATTTATAACGTAATACAGAGTTGTGTTGTTATGTACGGTATATATGTATGTCATAGAGAGTGGCCATACCTTCATCGGTGATGGAGTCGACACTAATTGGCAGTTCCTTTAGTACTGTATTAGTCGTGCGTTGTTTGGCATCAATTGTGCAATAGTTTTGCTGACGTAAAGAGCGGTTCAATACCTGTGCTCCCAAACCAGGACTGTCGCAGACTTTACCACCAATGGATGTGGTGGTGGTAGTCGTCATAATGCATTTTGACCACGTCGCTAACAAATATAACTTTATATATTACGTATATGGAAGACAACGATAGATGATGTTTATGCATATATTAATGAATAATTGAATTTATTTATCAATATTATTTAGACCGACATCTTTTCACTTATCAATGATTTTGGCAACTCTTTTGGACAATCACTTTGTTGTGTCCAAACTGTTATCGATAATGAGAACAATGTTTAATGTATTATATAATTTTTTATATTGGATTAGTTTTATATGAAGTTTACATTATATACATAACCGCTATATTAAATACCAATTGTTTCTATGAGTTTTTCATGTGTTTCTATAGATAAGGGTTTTTGTTTTGAATTCATCAAATACCTTCATCGGTGATGGAGTCGACACTAATTGGCAGTTCCTTTAGTACTGTATTAGTCGTGCGTTGTTTGGCATCAATTGTGCAATAGTTTTGCTGACGTAAAGAGCGGTTCAATACCTGTGCTCTCAAACCAGGACTGTCGCAGACTTTACCACCAATGGATGTGGTGGTGGTAGTCGTCATAATGCATTTTGACCACGTCGCTTACAAATATATACAAGTATATTACGTATATGGAAGACAACGATAGATGATGTTTATGCATATATTAATGAATAATTGAATATATTTATCAATATTATTTAGACCGACATCTTCTCACTTATCAGTGATTTTGGCAACTTTTTTGGACAATCACTTTGTTGTGTCCAAACTGTTATCGATAATGAGAACAATGTTTAATGTATTATATAATTTTTTTATATTGGATTAGTTTTATATGAAGTTTACATTATATACATAACCGCTATATTAAATACCAATTGTTTCTATGAGTTTTTCATGTGTTTCTATAGATAAGGGTTTTTGTTTTGAATTCATCATTACTTTTAAATGCATTTCACTGTTAGTTACGATCGCTATTGGAGACAGAGTTTGTGTCACACAATTGATCCAACACTGGAAGCGCTTATGCAAGCAGTCATTCAACAACACCATGGGTTGTGGTGTTGAGTCGCTGTCGTGTTGTATGCGTTTGGATAATGCACTCCAAGGCATATGAAAATAATTATATTTTTCATTTTGTTATGTGTTTTTCTAAATTAAAACCATTTTTTAGAGAGTAATACAAAAAGTAAAATACTATGAATTATAATATATGTGTAGACACGGGTCTAACTGTTCACTTCAATTAAGGGTTATTGGCATCTGATGTATGGATAGGGAGACGAAAAATTAAAATTATAATAAAAGTGTAACAAAACATTGCAATAAATTGTTACCTAAAGAATGAAATGATTGCCGAAATGATGAATGAGTTTTGAGATCAATAATTAGACCTCTCATCGAATGCCTGTTTTGATAGAAACAAGAATTCAATTGAAAATGAATTGAATTAGCATTTGAATGGTTGGCGAGAGAGAGAGAGAGAGAGAGAGAGAATAGTTAGCCTAACATTCCCTCTGAAGTGCGGAGAGAAAGAAAAATTNAGAGAGAGAGAGAGAGAGAGAGAGAGAGAGAGAGAATAGTTAGCCTAACATTCCCTCTGAAGTGCGGAGAGAAAGAAAAATTTGAATTCATATCCAATATATTAAACTCCACAACAAATTATACTGAAATGCATACACAAAACATTTGAATGAATTTCTATGAGAAATTGGATGCGAAAAATTCCTAAAAAATTCACAACAAAACGTATAATTATTTTATGAATGATTAACAAATAAATTAGTTTCAAGTTTACCAAAAAGGCATTACAAGTCTCAAGTGTTTGGATGCATAAAATGTATACAAGATTTATAAACAGTTTGCGTTGTCTTTCGACATGATTTATAAATAATTTTCTCGACGAGAATATTAGTATTATTATTAAAATTGTAGCGAAAATGTTGTGCAAAATATATGCGAAATATATCATAGATTTAGTAAAAGACGACAGAAGAAGGAGAATAACTATTAGGAAAATGAATGAACTCTTGAATTGAGAATTGATGTGTTTGTTAAGCGAAATGTTTTTAAATGCTGTGAAAAACGCTTTTCCCCACAAATACTGCAAAAGGCTTCTTAAGTGTGAAAAGAGGTTATGGTTTTTGTGTGGAAAAGTCTTCACCAAAACCTTAAACTTTTAGTTTTAAAGATTTCTTTTTCTGGTGAAGAAAGCGAAACCCAAAAGGCATCACAAGAGAGAGAGAGAGAGAGAGAGAGAGAGAGAGAGAAAGCAGTAAAATATGTTTGACTCGATTTCCGACATACAATATATGGGAATAGAGAGAAAGTGAGGCTAAAAAATATATAAAGTTTTTCTTGTGGACGAAATATATTTACTTCTAAAAGAATATATCATTTGTTGTGTGGGTTTTAAGGCATTAAATCATATGTGGAGAGAGAGAGAGAGAGAGAGAGAGAGAGAGAGAGAGAGAATCAGTGAGCAGAAGGAAGAGAAAGAGATTGATCTGAAAGAGATTTAGTGAAACGTGAGCTCTTCTCCAGTCATTAGTAATTCATTTTATCATTATATCGGAGAAGACGTCAATTTTCTGACACAAAATTTATTTATTACTTTTTGAATGCAATTTTCCTCGGATTCCATATATAGTGTACAATAGTTTCAGAAATGATAGACAAACGCAACCCTTGTTTCTCAACCGACAGACGAATGAATGCCTTCAATGAATGAATTAGTAATGTTTTGATTGAGGCTTTGGCTCCGTTTGTGTCAAAGATATACCGAAAAATTAGTCGCCACAGCATTACCATTGAAGAGATTAGTCTCTCTCTCTCTCTCTCTCTCTCTCTCTCTCTCTCCAAAATAATGCCTTATTCTTAACACAACAATATTGGGAACCATAGCATAAGACACTCTACTTTTAACGAGATCTGAGACTCTGTTTCACTCTTTCGCTCAAATTCTGCACAAATAATATCCAATCGAAATGAGAAGCACTGAAAACACTTATAGACCACACAAAAGAGATTTATAACTCTATTGTCTAAACGCCTGAAACACCAGAAAAACCTTCAAAATATACGCTTAACTATATTTTTCTGGTTAAAGAACTTTTCTCTTTATTTTCGATAATGTTATGCTTCATCACAATTGGATGTGTTCTCTCTCTCTCTCTCTCTCTCTCTCTCTTCCTCTCTCTCCACTTAATGTATTAGCACTGAACTAAGAAAGCATTTTATTGAGCCCCTGATAGCGCTTAACAAATGTATATATCAAAGGGTTTGGTAGGGCTTTGTTGCGAGAATATGGTGGTGAATGGATCATCATGATACTTTTAATTTTACATTTTTACCTTAAATAATTAACGTACATTTGTATATAACTTTGCGGATCTCAAAACAAACATGTTAACTATACAGAGAATATACTTTAACGAGATTAAATGAAATACATTCATCTCTAAATTACGTGTAATATGTTTATTGAAAAATAGCTATATTTTTAGTATATTATATTAGTTGAGCTGATTTTCTTCGCTAGAATAGTATGTATAAAATATTTCGTAACTATTATTTGTACCATAAATCTAATACCTATTGTATTATAATTTACTTTAGTTTTTTCGGTTCAGTATTTAGTGGAGGAGTTGTTGAGTAACTATTGGCAACTATAATGACGGACACATACCTACTCTCTCTCTCTCTCTCTCTCTCTCTCTCTCTCTGAGTATGTTATTGTGTGAATGCAAAAGGAGGATGTGCAAAATTTGCTTAGACTGGCACCAGGAATGTATTGGTATAAAATAAAAATGCATTATACAATATAAGAAGTCTAATAATATACATGTAGTTAATTCCCAACTTATGGGTTAAAAATTGTAATGAAGTAAATCATGTATATATGATGAGGGGAATAAGTTAGCATGATAATAATATAATAAAGTTTAATAAAATGCAAAATTAACTTCATCAATTTGAGTGCTCAACCACCAGGCAGCATGAGCATCGACCATGACCCTTTATTTTTAGGTATCTTTTATGAATATACTGAACATTTTGTCGGATAAAGTATTTTGTGTGCAAAAATATATCGCACACAAAGACTATGTGTGAAAGAAATGGTTAGAGAGAGAGAGAGAGAGAGAGACTAAATACAGTAAACCCAAGTTAATGACAAACAAATGTTAGCCATATATATAAGTGAATAACAAATATAATACAAGAAATAAGTATATATTGTGTAATAATAGTGGAGAGAAATTGCGTAAAAGTGATCTCTAATAACATAATGTTATACTTAATTAAAAAGTGTTTCATATCTTTTACATACATTTATATATGTATTAAATGTTTGGCTCAGAAGAGAGTGGAAAAGAGAGAGAAGGGTTGACGTGTTTTTACAGCCAATATATAACTCAAAACGACTTATTTCTTTATGAACTAAAAAAGTATTGCTATTATGTATTAAAGTAAAGAAAAACATGTCTTCCCTACCAGTCCTCTCACTCACAATCTCTCTCTCTCTCTCTCTCTCTCTCTCTCTCTCTCTCTCTCAGTCTTAGTCTAAAGTCTTAGAACAGTCGAAACATTAAGACATTTATTTAATATAATACTGTATTATAAAACACATTATTATTTCAGTGTTCGTGAGTGTGACTGAAAGAGTATACGAGAGAGACAGACAGAGAGAGAATAGGAGAGAGAGAATGGCAGAATATTTAGTGTATTTCTATAATTAATTTTTATATTTAAATCTAAGCCAAAAGAAAAGAGTCGATAAACACCGCAAACACATCGCATAATATATGAAATATAAAAAAAGTTGAGTCGAGAGAGAGAGAGAGAGAGAGAGAGAGAATTGCATTTTTAGTTTTGTGTGTTTTTTGTTTCCATGAAATTCTTCTTTTGAATACACCATTAGTTTATCAGTTGTGTCATAAAATGCAAAATTAACTTCATCAATTTGAGTGCTCAACCACCAGGCAGCATGAGCATCGACCATGACCCTTTATTTTTAGGTATCTTTTATGAATATACTGAACATTTTGTCGGATAAAGTATTTTCTGTGCAAAAATATATCGCACACAAAGACTAGTGTGAAAGAAATGGTTAGAGAGAGAGAGAGAGAGAGAGAGAGAGAGAGAGAGAATACTTGCCTAACAACACTCACACACACTGTAGTTCTCGCTGTACTTATAAACTACATAGACGTGAATGAGAGAGAAAATACTGTAAATGGTTAATAGTTTTAGTGCTGAATATCTGTTAATAAGTTATATAACAAAACCGTAGAGAAAGACAGACATATATAAAGTATATACACATACAGAGAGTGTGTGTTATGTTGTGTTTTATATACAAATATTTCCACAAATATATTAGAAAATTATTCCCCATTTTCTTATCGCTCGCGAAATGAATTTTTATTATTTTTGCTGTACTTTTGCTTATATATTATGTGATTCGAGTTAGAGTTAGTGAATGAACGACTCTCTCTCTCTCTCTCTCTCTCTAACTTTCGCTTTGTTTTGTCTGTCATTTTCATTGAATTATAGAAATTTTATGCTATTTTTGTTAT